CATACATACATACATACATATATATATAGAGAGAGAGAGAGAGAGAGAGAGAATCATAGTTAATTCTGTGCCTTATAGAACGAAGCATAAATGTTTTAGCCAGCATTTCACAAAAGCACGTAGCATACTCAATTGCGGCTTTGTTCATAGTTAAATTTCATTAGTTAATTCTGCCTCTCCTCTCTATATTTACCATTTGTCTCTCTCAACAACCAAGTGCCTATGTATTTATATTTTCTTTCTGCCTATATTCCAGACTTCTGATGCAATGGACTGTGACCTCTAAAAGTTACGCAATACTCTTTTTGTGTTAGTTTTCAAGGAGGCACTAGGCTTTTTTAAATTGGTTTTGCCACAGCCCCAGATTTAGTATTTCAAAGTCAACATAGCACTTCTGAAGAGTTCTACTATACATCTCACCCGACTGCTACAGATGAGGAACATCTGGAAAGAATTTCCATATAATCTCCTTGGGTGGTTCGGTGTGCCTCCAAATCCATAGTATGGTCCTTATAAAAAAGTATGTGTATGTAAGTAAGAAACAAACTGAACTTTATCAAACTTTTAATAAGGTGGCTATAAAAATGCAGCAGTAACTGTTAGAAACCCATGTAAACTGATTACTACTGCAGGGTCAAGTTATTATTGTATTATTGCACCTGACAATGCAGACAAGGACTATTACAAATAGTTTAAAGATCCTAGTTGGGGGTAGGATTTCCATTGCCAGGGGAAGCGATGGTTAGGAAAAACAACCTAGCTAGCAACATTAGTCCTGCTTGTAGTCATTAAGCAAGGACCTCACATTTCTCCTGCCCTGCTACGCTAGCTTATGCTTCAACTGCCCCCCCCCCCCGCCACTCTTTATCTACCTGTCTCTCTGCCCTTTTGGCTGCCCTGAACTCCACTACTGCTAATCCTCAAACTACAACCACAACGGAGTCCAAAATTTCTGTTGCGAAGCAAGAGAGTCATTAAGTGAAGCACTGCAGTTATTAAATTACCAACACGGTTGTTAAGTGAATCTACTTCCCCATTGATTTTGCTCATCAGAAGGTCGCAAAAGGGGATCACGTGACCCCAGGAGCCAGTTGCCAAGCATCTACAATTTTGATCACATGACCTTGGAGATGATGCCAACAGCAGTTAACTGTGAAAAACGGTTATAAGTCACTTTTTTTTCCTGTGCTGTTGTAAGTTTGGATGGCTACTAAAAGAACTGCGGTTAGGTCACGGGACTATCTGTACCACTGCCTATGCCTCCTGCACCCTGCTTGCCCACAACTGACCTATGCGATCTGCTTCCTCCCACTGACAAAAACATGCCCAATCAACGGCCCCTCCATAGGGGTAGGTAGGTGACAAGCGGAATGCAGGACAGCCAAAAGGGCAGAGATATGGGGAGATAGGCAGTTGTTACAAAGGTTTTATAAAGAGCCAGGATCTGCCCTGGCTGGAAAAATCTCAAGAACAAAAAAATGGGGCATTAGGCCTTCCATAAGCCTCTATGGTGCAGTGGTTAGAGTGCAGTAGTACAAGCTACTTCTGTAGCCAGCTGCCTACAATTTGGCAGTTCAAATCCCACCAGGCTCAAGGTTGACTCCGCCTTCCATCCTTCCCAGGTGGGTAAAATGAGGACCCAGATTGCTGGGGAAAAGAGGCTGACTCTGTAAACCACTTAGAGAGAGCTGTAAAGCACTATAAAGCGGTATATAAGTCTAAGTGCTATTGCTATACCAGAGCAACAAAACAATCCCAACACCACTTCTGGAAACATAACATTGCCCATTGTACAGGTGATCCTCGACTTAACTAAGGCCCAAAATTTGTTGCAGATGTTAAGTGCGCTTTGCCATTTTAGAACCTTTCTTGCCACAGGTGTTAAGCGTATCACTGCTGAAAAGGTTAGCAACGTGGCTATTCACTGAATCCCGCTTCCCCATTGCCTTTGCTTGTCAGGTGGCCAAGTGTGATCACATGATCCCAGAGACGCTGCAACCATCGTAAAGACGAGTCACTCGCCAAGCATCCAAATTCTGGTCAGCTGACTGTGGGGGATGCTGCAGTGGCCATGTGAAAAACGGCCATCAGTCACTTTTTTCAGGGCCTTTGTAACTTTGAACCGGTGTTAAAAGTGTAGTCATAAGTTGAGAACTAACTGCACTGGTCCTACTGCAGGATTTGGGCCATAGCTGGTAAAAACCAAACTGGGCCAACGAAGTAATACATAAAAATGTTTTAGCAATATGGGAGGCTGCTATTCCTAAAAGCAGCCCTTACCCCTACACCAGGGGTGTCAAACTCAAGGCCTGGGAGGGCTGGATCCTGCCCACGGGGTGCTTAGATGTGCCCTAGGGCCACCCTGGAAACAGCGAAGGACTGGCCCATGGTGCCTCTGCCAGTGGAAATGGTGCTCGGGAGGGCTGTTTTCTCTGACAGAGCGCTCAGGTGCCCCCCGACACAAGTGACGTCCAGCTGGCCATGCCCACCCCCGCTAAGGTCAACACAATGCTGACGCGGCCCTCAAGGAAATAGTTTGACACCACTGACCTACACCAAACAAATGCACTTCAGAAACTAGAGAGATACCTGTTAAGAATTAACAATGGCATGATAGCAAGAGCACTTAGACTTATGTATTGCTTCACAGTGCTTTACAGCCCTCTCTTAGTGATTCACAGCCAGCATCTATCTTGCCCCCAACTATCTCGGTCAGTGATGGCGAACCTTTTTGTTGTGGTGTGCTGAAAGTGTGCGCGCTGGCACCCACAATGCAATGCACCCCGCCCCCCTGCACGCGCAATAACCCACCCCCTTACCTGCACTGTGCATGCGTGCACCTCCCAGCTGATTTTTGCCCTGTTTAAGGCCATTTTTGCCCTCCTGAAGGCTCAAGGAAAGCCTCTGCAGCCTTGGGAGGCCGAAAAACGGGCCTTCCAGAAATACCAGAAGTGCCGATTTTCAGCCTCTAGAGCCTGGGGGATGCCATTTTCACCCCAGAGGCTTGAGGGAAACCTCTGGAGCCTGAAAACGGGCCCATTTCAGCACTTCCAGAAGGTCCGTTTTTCAGCCTCCTATGGCTGAAGAGAGGCACACGCATGGGCAGGTAAGTTTGGCTGGGGCTCGCGTGCCTACACAAATGGCTCTGCCTGCCACCTGTGGCACACGTGTCATAGGTTCACCATCATGGATCTATGTCCTTGTTTTACCGACCTCTGAAGGATGGAAGGCCAACCTTGAGCCATTCAGAATCGGAACTCCTAGAGTATCATCAATGTTATCCATCAGACATATTCAATATATTAATCATAGCAAAAACTCTCCTACACCAAAACAAACAGCTAGGTAGGCAAGCGTCTTTATCTTTTTACTTTAGATTATCGTTTCGGTCTATAAGGGAATAACAGACTGATTTCAGGAACCTTATAAAGGTAACTGTTTCAACACAAACACATAGCAAGCTTAGATCTAGTAGTTTGTTTCGATGCGGTACTCCGAAGTCCATGAATTGTATATTTTGCAGTTTTGCTTTAAAAGCAAACTGTTTTTATTGAAGCTTCAGAGATCATGAAACAAAACAAGTTTACTATGGTTTTTTTTAATGAATTGCCATAGGTCAGCTCAAGCTATTGTGTATTTTGGGGTACAAGAGTGTGAAATGATTTTAACTCGATTGTTTTTCCCTCTTGGCTGACTAGCAGAATAACTGATAGCCAATACAACCCTGGCCTACCTCTATTTTTTTTCCATGCAAGCTTATTGATTTTCCACAAACATGACTTTATGGAAAGCATTTCTACAATGCAATATAAATAACATTTTATTGATTAGCCATTAGGCCGTATCATCAATATATTAATAAAAGCAACAGCAGGACTATGGCTGGTGATCTTGTCAAATATCAAAGTATACAAATTTGATAGGTTCAAAACAACCAAATGGAAGCTACTAATTGGACAAGAAGCTTGTTTGCAAGGGGAGTTATGCAGCTCAACCATGCACTTTCCATTTCCTATAATACAGTAGAATGAAAGTCCAGTTAACCAACTGCCGTTCCAATTTTTTTAATATATTTTAATTTATGTTAACAGCAATAATTAAACTAAAAGTTTAGATGGAGATTAAACAGAATTTTAAGTCACCAGCCTCTAATATTGGTCATAATGTGCATAATGGTCATTTGCTTAATATTTTTTAATGTTTAGATGCCATTTAATTAGTTTATTAAAAAGATTAAGTGTTCCTGTAGAGTTAGGCTAAGTAGGAAAGATTAACCATAAGGCTAAAAACAAGTGTACTTCAACAGTCAAATGCCACACCACCAGCTACTTTCGATATTACATAAAGACTTGCTACTTTTAGAGCCTTCAAAAGATTCCTCCAAAAACAAGTTAGTCAGAACCAAACTCTTCTTTCTGCATACAGTCATACAAGTTGGAAAAGCAAATCCACGAAGCACGACTTTCACAACAACAAAGGAAACCAATTTCTCCATCTTACAACCAGGCAACACAAAATTGGATTTTGTTTTGTTTTGCAGCCAATTTCCTTTCGGGTCCTCTTGCAAAACAACCAAAGGCCCTTTGGTACACGCACAGGTCCTAGATGGGAGCTACTGATTTCTTGCTTCAATCTCCGACCCAAGCTGTGGCATGGCCTGTTTTTCCGATGCAACGAATTCATTAAAAACGGGAGAGGGGAAAATATAGATTTTTTTCCCCTTTTTCCTGAGCGAAAACGGACCAAGATCGAATGCAATTCCCAGCATTAAGGAAAAGGGCACCATCTGCTTTTTTCTTTCCAAAGACCTCTTTCAACGGTAAAATTGCTCGTACGGCCCTTTGCAACAGCCTCCCACCAACCCAGGCTTTGGCTCTTCCAGCCGGGCGGGCTGTCACGAAGGTGGATCGCTCCTCCCGCCGCGGAATTTTCCCTCGCAGAAGGGCTCGAGCGGACGCGCGGGGGGGGGGGGAGAAGGAGCAGCCGTTTCCTCGACGCACCGTAACGGCGCTCAGCAGAGGGGGAGGCGGCGGTTGCTCGGCACAGCCGCGCACGCTAAAGAGGGCCGGGGAGGAAGAGTGGGGGAGGACGACGACAAAGGCTCCGTCGCTCCACCGCCTTGAAAGGGGAGAGCCCAGCCAAGCTCTCCGCCGGCGCCGCCTTTTCCGGAGCGAGCTGGAGCGCCGCCAGCCAGAGCCGTCGAAAAAATGCAACCTCCTCGTCACATGACCTCCGGCCGACGTGCAGCAGCGCCCCTCCAGGGAGGCGCTCCGCCATCTTGAATTGACGCAGTTACAGCTAACCGCTCGAAAAGCCGCCGCTGCACAAACGCCCCTCCGTTCTCCTTCCCCACCCGCGAAAAGGACGGAATTGGTGTGGGGAAAGTGGGGGAATAAAAACCGTCCGCGGCCGACCTAACACGGCCGCTTCTGCCCCGGTACCGCTCCGCTTCCCCTCCCTGCTGTCATGGCGCCCGTTTTCTTCTCTCCCTTTGCGCCAGCCAACCCCCCCCCCCCCCCGGCCGTTCTTCCCCCTCAGCCCTACCCAAGTGGAGGCGTCTGCCCCTGCTGCAGGATGATGTCAGCATCTGCCAATCGGGACGCGCCTCTTCGGGGCGTCATTACAGCCGATTGGCTCCCGCTCTTCCGGCTACCCCCCCCTCTCTCTCGGGCCCCGCCCCTTGACTGAGGGTTGCTCGCCGCGGTTCGCTGCGGAGAAAAGGCCCGGCAGGAAAGAGGCGGCGGGAAGGGCAGGGAGGAAAGTTACAAACGCCACACGCTCCCCCGACGCTGTCGCCGCACAAGACGCCATTTCGTGCTGAGAAAGACACGCTCCCCCCCCTCCCCGCCAGACAAACGAAGAAAAAAAATAACCAGCGGGACCAGACAAAGGGGGCCAAAAAACATCCATATATACACTCACAAGACATTTAGTCGCCCGCCCTTCTTTCACCCCCCCCTCTTGCGTACCCAGCGCCCTATTACAGCCGCCGCCTCTGGGTCCCGGCCGGGCAGCCAGCAAAGCTTCTCCCGCCGCTTCCTCCTGCTCCTGCTGCTCCGACGGGGAAACGAGCTACTCTAGCCTGCCCTTCTCCTTCCTCCCCTCGGTTCTCCCGGCTCCATCAAAGCAGCGCCGGAGCCGCCAGCCCCGGCTTTTATCTGGCGCCCCGAGTTTGCGCACTGAAAGGAGGCTCACTCAGCCCCTGGTGGGCGTCGAATGAAACCCCAGCCCGCCTCCCCTCCCGAGCTCCGCAGCCGCAAAGACGGAGGCTCCTTCTGGGCCGGACGCCGAGGGGTGTCAGGCTCCGAGCCAAGCCCCGCGTCGTATGCCCCAAAAGCGCTCTTTCTGTCTGTTGCTCTTCCCCCCACCCCCCAATAACCCCTTGAAGAGAAGGTCGGTGCGTCTTCCTCGATCCCGACAGTTTGCCCTCCCCCGCCCGCCTGCCTCAGAGGGAGCGGGACGCAAAGTCCCCGGCGCCTTGCAAGAGCGAGCGGTCCCCGGTTTGAGGAAGAAAGGCGCTCAGCGAGGGTCGGGGATCGGCGCGTTCTCGGCTCCTCCACTGACACTTTCGCCAGCCAATCAGGCCTCCTTCCATCCCTACCCCGGGATTCACGCCGGCTGAGCGAAGCTAAAGATAGCGCTGTCGTCCCGTTCCTCCCCCCACCCCACCGACCACCAACGCAACCCAAACAAAGCGGCTCTTTTTCAAATCCTCCGGCCCGGCCTCTTCGCACAATAGTCTGCCCCTCCGCTTCCTCTTCTACGCCCCCCCTCCGTTTTCTCTCCCCTCAGGCTTCTGCCTCTTCGCTTTTCAGATAGCGAGCGTGGGGGGGAGCTCTTCCCTCTGTCATCACCATCATCAACACACACACACACACACACACCGGCGAGACTCTCGTCGCCCCCCCCCCTTTTCCATCTCCACGGACCCATCCACACCCCGGTCGGGGCTCGCCTTCAAAGGGCAGCCCCTGCCAGCCGCAGCCCACAAGGAAAATGGCGGCTGTTTGGCTTCGCCCTGGTAACCCTGCCCCTGCCAGGCGGGGTGGGCGAACCCGTGCGGCGGGGGGGGGGAGGCGACGCCATTTTCCCGGAGAGAGAGAGAGAGAGAGAGAGTGAGAGAGCGAGCAAGAGAGAGAGAGAGAGAGGCAGTGACATCGGAAGGAGCGTAGGCGGCTGCGAGGAGGGAGACACGGGAGCCAGAGCAGCAGCGGCGGCGGAGGCGGCACGGGGGGCAACCAAGGGGTGGTCCAGAGGTCCGAAGCGGTTCGCAGCGGGGCCCTGTGCAGCCAAGCCAGCCAGCCCGTTCGGGGGGTAGCTGCCTTCGACCCTCCTCCTCCTTTCCCCGCAGCCTCGCTCGCTCGCTCGCTCTCTCTCTCTTACCCGCGGGACCTCCGCAGCGGGACAGTTGCATTGTGGTGGCGGGGCCAAGCCAGGGGCTCGGGTCGGGGTGCCGCTGCCTGGCCGGTGATCATTCCAGGTGAGTTCGGGGCCGCCGCCGCCGCTATTTGTTATGGTGCGGTTGTCATGCCCGGGGATGGGGGGGAGGGTTGAGAGAGGCAGAGGGAGCGCCTCTTCTTTCCCCGAAAGGCAGCAGCGGCGGAGTATCGCCGCCCTCCGGGGGTGGGGGGCGCGTCCGTCTGGGGGACCCTTTATGTTATTTTTATTATTAAAGTGGCTTTTGCCTCCTCGTAACGTGTGTGTGTGTGAAAGGGGGGGGGGGGGGGAGACGGTGTCACCTTTTAAACAGCCGAGGGGGGAGTCGCTCCCGTCTTGTGAATATGGCGCGTTTTATTGTAAAGCGGCGGAGGGTTTGTCCTTCATGGCAGTTTTATCACGCCGGGCTTCATCTTCATATTTTGGGGAGGGGGGAAGGAAAGAGGCTGACGGCGGGGCCGCAGGGGGAAACCCCCCCTCTCCGAGGGATTACAAAAAAACGGGGGGGGGGGTCTTTTCTGACAGGCTCGGAAACAACCCCTGAACGCCGACTTTTGTGAGGGGAAGGGCGGCTGTTCTTCGTCGTCCGTCCGTCTCCCCCTCAAACCTGCCCCTTTTTCTCCGGTCCGGGCAGAGGGGGCCTAACGAATCATCCTCCGCTCTCCGGGCCAAACAGTTCTCGGGACTTGGCTTGGGAAGGCGAGCCCGTCCTCGCTTCGTTAAAGAGGCGGGCGGGCGGACGGACGAGCCTTTTTTTTATTTATAGCCGCCTCCGGGCGCGGGCGAAGGACCGCTCTTCCCTTTCTGGAGGAAGGGCGCGGGGGAGAAGAAAGAGGACGACGGGGAGGAGGAGAAGAAGCCTCTTGCCCGGGGAAGTGCTGAGGGGAGAGGGGTCGCTCCTGCTGCAGAACCCGGGGTGGGGTGGGAGAGAAACAAACGGTCGCCCGAAGTCCCGGTCTCCTCAAGAGTCCTTCGCCCGGAAGGGGGGGGGTGTCTCCCGAGCAAGCGGTTGTTGCAAACCCTCGGCTGCCTCTTCACCTCAGTTTTGTTTCGGTTGCCCGTCATAGACCGGAGCGCCTCTCCCCCGCTTAACGGGAGAGAGAAGACCCCCACACACACCGAGATCCGAGCGGATAAAGCGGGGCCCGCCAAAGAGCGGGTGAGGAAGGGGGGGGGAGAAGGGTCGGAGGGCGCGCTTCTCCTCAGCGACTCGGGGTTAAAATAAATAACGACCATCACCACCACCATCACCACGAAATAATAATAACAATAAATAAAAGCGGCGTCAATATTTGTAGGTTTTTTTCAAACCCCCCCCCTCTTTTGTCCTTTTAAGAGATTCTAAAAATGGCGGCCCCAAGGCTGATGTTGTGGTAATCTAATCAGCTCGGGTCCCTCCACACCCCATGCAGCGCGTTTTGTCTGCAGCAACGTTTTATAAGGGCTGCTTCGTTGTGGTGCCTGGATTAAATAAATTAAAAATCTTTAAAAAAGGATTTAAAAGGGGGGGAGGGGCTTCCGTCAGATCGTGGACAAGAAAAATAATAATAACCCCTCACTGGGTCGCCTTTTTATTATTATTATTACTTACTACGGTGGGAAAAGATGCTGCTGCTGTTCCGCTTGATTAATTTTATTGGCTATTTTGTGGGAAAGGCGAATGAGCCCAGAACAATCTTCCTCAGAGAAGGAAGGACGGGAAAGGGTCCCTTGAAGCCGCTTGCGGTTTTCCTGAGTGTGTGTGTGTGTGTGAGAGAGAGAGAGAGAGAATGTATGTGGGTGCGTGTGTGTGAACTGAGTTCAGATGTATTGCCATATTAATCTTTCCACTTTTTATTTTTAAAATGGTGGACAAGTTGATAGTTTCGTGTGGGGCCCGTCTCCTCCACACGTCGAAAAAATAAGGCTGAGGGGAGAGCCAATTATTTTAACTTGGTGCTCCTATTGAAATGAGGATGGGGCTCTGTGTGTGTGTATGTATATGTGTGTGTATGTGTACACACACACACACACACACACACATATATGTATTACAAATCTATTAATAGTATCTTATTACAGGACAAAATATTCCAGTGTTCCCTGTTTCCCTCCCTCCAGTTAATTACATAGATTTAAACTGGTGCTTCTCTCCTTTTGGATTTAAATATATGTAATATTTCCACAGTTTCTCCCCCCCTTCTGAAATTCATTTTTTGTGTGACAATTATACTTAAGTTATTAATTAACATTGACCAATTAATAGTGATTAATGCAAAATAAAAATAATTAGCAAGCTGCTTAGCTTCTCTCCTCCATCATCCCTATCAGAACGATATTTTCCTAATCTTTTGAAGGACTTATGAAGAAAAGTATAGGGAACTTTGAGTTCCCTTTATTCTTTTTTTATTGTGCTATTTAAATTCATTGTAGTTTGAGGTTTAAACTGGAAGTTGAAATCTCTTGAAATTAGTAGCGAAATACAATACTACTTTAGGAAAACATTTTATCCAGTTGGCTAATGGTTTTACTAATATAATGCTAATACTACTTTATATTAATGCTTGCTTTTTTCTAGGCAAATGACAAAGAAAAGGGTATTTAGAAGGCTGATCATGTATGCTTCAGTTTATTTTGAGGCCTATAGCATGTAATGTATTGTCCATAAATACTAATTTTGTCAGATGAAAATTTCATATTTTAATTATTTATTTTTGCATCCTTTGGAACATACATAATTTCGGAACATTATTCCCAAGAATCGTGTAAAGATTGTGACAGTTTCTTGATAAAAGTATTGGTTTGGTAACCATATCTTCATTTTGGTCATAATTTATAATTAGTGAATTTTATTCATGCCTAAAAATTGATTGTCTTAATTTCATTGCTAATATTTGGTCCAAATGTGATTGCAAAAGAAAATTTATAGTGACTTTCTGGTTTGAGCTCATTGGCTTCTGACAGCAACTCTATGATTTCTGTTTAATTTGCTTAAGGAAGCTATGAGTAGAATTCTAGATTGTACAGAAACCCATCTGTCAGTTCAGTCTTTTATATAGAAATGAAACCATCTTAAAGCCTTTGTTCTACATTGCTCTCTTCTGACAAT